AACCCGGGATTTTTTTTCCTTAGGCCAGTTATGGATAATGGGTTTTCAGTGCATTCCTATGGGAAATGGACCCTCGACCCACGGACTTTTTGACAGCAGCCACCGTTCCAATATGGATTAATTCCGAAAGTTGAGGGTCCACTGTACCAGGAGAGGTGAGCAACTGACAACTGATATCATACACCATTCATGGAAACCAATCATTTTGTATACTGGTCCAGATGAGAGACATTGGCAACAACACTGCAGAGCTGGCACCGAGATAGTAAAATGGCTCTTTGCTCACTATGGAAAGTTGAACCATTGTGCCTATGCATAAACAAACAAACATACGTGCAGTGGTACCAGCTTGCAGCTTTCAAATATCTCGCAGTTCCTTCTTATTTTACCCATTGCTGATAGTTATGCAGTATTGGGAACTTAACTCCAACCTACTGACACCCTTCTTCAAAAGCTCATTAGAAATATTGAAAACAAGTTTACAGTATATTCATGACCTCCGTTCCTGCTCAAATTTGCAGAACGGAAAAGACATCAGGATTTGAAAGTACATTATCATCATTATCATGTGCCATCAAGTCAATTCTGGCTTATGGTGCTCCTTTCCAGAATTTTCTAGGTATGGAGTACTCAGAAGTGCTTTGCCATTCCCTTCTTCTGGTGGCTGCCCTGGGACAGTGCAGCTTGCCCAAGGCCACACAGGCTGGCTTCTCCCTGGAGGTACAATGCAGAATTGAACTCCCAACCTCTGGCTCCACAGCCAGCTACCTAAACCACTAAGCTATCCAGCCAGCTCTGAACGTACATACTTGTAGCGTTCCCCTTTAATATGTCAATGGTTAATGTTTGTTATGTTAATTGTTCATGCATATTCATGTTGCTGAGAGGTGGAGCCGAGAGAGATGTGGTAAGAGGCGGAGCCTGAGGGAAAGTCAGTAAGAGAGAGTATGAGTAGTGTGAGAGAGTGGAGAAGGGGATAGAGTGTGGAGTTTGGGGAAATCTGAGAGGTAATTAGTTAGGAGTGTATTATCAAATAGAAGATTGTTGTTTATAATCAATTTACCTATAGAAGATATTCATGACTCACTATCAATTTCTGTAATCAATGTACAAAACTTATATTTAAAAGACTTTGAAGTGTGGGACTGAATTTTCATCTTCCCGAAGTAATGGTGATTTAATGATCACCTGGTGGCAGCAGTGCAAAAGAGGGGATTGTTTGCCTTCGAGTGCTCTGAGTCTTGACAGTCAAGCAAGCGGGCACAAGGGGGGAACACCACAATACTCACAGGCTATTTCAACTCGGATGAAATCTTTTAGTCCCAGATTTTCCAAGAAGACCCCAGATGCAGCTGTTGTTTTGAAGAAGAAGGAAATATCTGCTGAAAACTCCGCATGGAAGGTAGGGAAAAGAAGGTAGGATGCTTCAGTGGTGAAAGCAGCTGCGTTCCAGAACTGTCCTGAAAATAGCAAAAATCTTCTCTATAGTTAATCGTAAGCATCTAGTGAATATCCTTTTGCAAATAATAACAAAAGTTACTACAGATGTGATGAACAATTCAATAAAAATGTTAAACCAGTTGAATGTTTCAATTTAAGAACAACTAGATTAGGCTGATAACCCATCTAATATAGCATTCTTTTTAAAAGACAATGACAAATTCCATGTGAGGAATCATTAGGAAAGGAATCAAAAACAAAGCAGTCAATACCTTTCTACTCTTAGACCAACTTATAGTATAATCACACCTGAAAGGCTATGTTAGATTCTAGTCACATCATCTCAGAAAGGATACTGCAGCTCTGGAACAGGTGCAAAAGAGAGTAACCAAAATGATCAAATGCCAGGAGCAAATATAAAAATATTTGGGAAACATGGTGCAGATTTACAAAACCAGGCATGGTTCCCCTCTCTCTCATAACAATAGAACCTGGGTTCATCATCCATCAAGTTGAATAGCTGTAGATTTAAGAAAGAGAAAAGTATTCCCACAACACATAGCTAATAGTAGAACATATTACCTAGATACAGTGATGGTCACCATATTAGATGGTCTTAAGTGGGGTTAGAAAACTTCATGGAGGATAAGACTATTAAAGAATATGAAGGATTATGTATGATAGCTGTATATTACCAGAGACAGCACCATGCTTCTTATCGCCTGTTTTTAGGGGAAGACCTGTTTTAGGTGCTATTGAACGCATATCCTAGTTGTAGGTACTTCCCATCAGCCTTTGGTTAGCTACAATGGAAATAAAATGCTAGACTAGATGGGCCATCTGCCTAATCCAGCAGTTCTTAAATTGAAACTCTGAAATTCTTTGGAATGCAGCTGGAAACAAATTGGACTCTGAGATTATGTTAACAAGCTTGTTATGAATTAAACAAGTAGACTATTCAAGAGTATAAATGAATAACTATATGTGCATTACACAAGATGTGTTATGCACACATGCACACAGACACACAGAGACACACATCTTGTGCTGCCTGTGCAGAAGAGAGTAAAAAGTGCTGATACTCACTATCTCCATAGCAACGCAAAGGGCCAATTCTCCAGGCAGCTTCCGAATTAGGTCTGTTTGTGTCGGTGATGACTATCTGATTCACGGGCAAGTGTTCTTTGAATGAAAGGAAGCCAGTGTCATTGGTCCTGGATACACACAGACAAATATAAAACACACATAAATAAGCACTAAAATCCATCCATTATCTTTGTAGGAAAAAATTTTATACATTTATTGTATTGTTTCTTTGATTTCATAAAGAATGTCCAATGGATATGAAGTGCACATAGATAAAATGCATATGATTTATGCATTTTTAAAAAATTGTGCCACACTTCATTTTGTTTAAAATCTTAAAACAGAATACTGTTGTATTTCGCAACATGGAATTCAACAATAAGATGACTGCAGAATTACAGTCCAATACAGTGTGGTGCCAGGACCCATGGGAAAGACATCTGTTGTATTGAAAGGTTGGGGTAGATCTCTCACTTTGGACTTCCCAGGGGAGGCATCCTCCCATACCTATGGAAAGTCCTAAAGTTTTCAGCATCTCAATGTAGTGTACAAGAAAAATACAAAAAGGGTGGATCAGGAGCTAGCCTTCAGTCCACAGGATCCAAAGCTGCCTAGGTTTTTGGCAATGCCCCAATATGGGAACTACAGTACTTAGACCTGCGTTGAACAATGGGAGAGAAAGCAGAAAAACAACAGCAATAAGAACATTGGGATGAAAAAAAAACTGGGAACTACACCTTCCTCATTTCCTTCCAACTGGCAAGACCCTTTGGACCACTTTGGTTATGCAGAATTCTCTGACCTTTGAGTGTGCTCACTGCAAGCTTAGGAGCTCTTTGCCCTAAGGACACAAAATCTAAACATTCTCACACATGAAAAATAAATCAGATTCTGGGATTAAGTTAACAACACTTGTTTCAATAGAACAAGTAGAATTCAGGAGCATAAATGAATACATGTGAGTGGGTTACACATGTGTGAGACTGACTTTAAACAATTGAGATGAATAGTGCAAATTGTTTTAAAAGTCTTTTGCAAAGACTTTTAAAATCAGAAGCACCTGATGGACATCTGTTCTTTCTGATCAACCAGTCACTCTGTGCTTATTCTTTCTGTTTCGTTTGTGCTTAGCTTCAAAAGGGGAAAGGACAATAGGTTGTGCAGAGGCATTTTGTGCAAATAGCAAAGACCTGGAATAAAAAAAGTGCTCATTCTTTATGCTAGAGCTGAGGAATCTTGTGGGACTTGAAACTTCCTTACCAAGACGTCTCATTATGTCAAGACAGAATGCATTGATAACAAGGAATTTAGTGAATATTTGGTATTTAGTAAGAGTATTCTGCTATTTAAAAGAAAAGACCACATGTGGTCTTTCTTGTATTTGCTACTGTGGTGTTGCCCTTGGGGCCCCTGCTTGTCTTTCCCTCACAAAGGCTCACATCGTGTTTTCTTCTCACTGCCACCAGTGGATTACCTCAATATTATTATAACATTGCCTATTTTTAATGGTTTTAATGTTTTTAAAGTTTTAATATTGTTGTACGCCGCTCACAGACCACTGGTAATGGTCTCTTGAAAATAAATAATCTTGAAAATAAATAAATAAATCCACAATATAAATGACATTTGTCAGAACACTTGTCTTGTGAATAGAAACATAACTTATTTATTGAAGCGAAGCAGACTGAATAATAACAGAAGTTCTTCAGATACACATTATACATAAGCAATTCATCAACAGTTCTCTCAGTACATACTTTTCTCTTGCAATATCATTACCACTTTCTCTACCTATTTTTCTAACCAGCTCTCTCTCTCTCAGTGTCTCATCCCAATCTCTATCTCTCTAACCTGCCCTATCTCTCTCTATCTCAATCTCCCTTCAGCTCAACCTCCTTCTACCACCAAGCTGCATGTAGCTGCTGCTGGCTCTGCCTCTCCAGCCCTCTCATAGGTTAATGCAAATTAGCTCATGAATATGAATGGCATGAGTGACGTGGGTGGTCGCCACAGTTACTTTGCCAAAATCTGGCAGCATGACAACAGTGGTGGGATTGTGCTGCCATAAAATACATGTGGCCTGAGGGCTCTGTTTTGCTTTCCCCTCCAACCTACAAATAGGAAAGGCTGCAGTTGTTAAACCACTTCTGAGAAAGCTGTGCCCTTCAGTGACATGTGCCATAGAGGAATCAATGTGGGGCTGGTATGAGAGAGGCACTCTCTCAAATATTTGGGTCCTTTAGTAGCATTTTGCACTGGTGCTGCAGGCAATTGGCAACCCATGATGTTTATTTATTATTATATGCCTGTATTTGTCAATTTTGGCACAATATACGTAAACCTAGCTGTATCAGCCTAGACTCACAGTTGTATTGTGCTCCATTTGAAACTTCTAGGTCACCTTCAAGGACAGTTCATATAACAGCAAATTAACACAATGGGGGAAAGAAAACATCATAACCAGTGTAATCATCAGCAGTATAGCATCTACTTTTTCTCTTGTATACACTTTTCTTTGAAGCCAACAATGTTCATTCTCAAGAACAAAGCAGTAACTGAATATTTGGCATCTACAGACAATGCCTTGTTTTTCTTTCCCTGGAGATGAAATTCTAGAAATGTGAGGAAACCATTATAGCTGATCCTCATTGCCACGAGTAGAAGTAGGGGCCATCTTGAGCAGCTTCCGCCTACTATTCATGGTGTCCAGCAAAATATTATGCAACATATTGGGTAAATATTGGGCAAGGACAGTGGTTCTTAACCTTGGGTTCCCAGATGTTCTTGGACCGAAACTCCAAGAAACCTTCACCACTAGCTGTGCTGGCCAGGATTTCTTGGAGTTGCAGTTTAAGAACATCTGGGGATCCAAGGTTTGGAACCACTGCACTAGGATGTAAGGAGGAATCTCTGACTGTTTGCCATGCATAGGTGGAACAATTGGGATTCAAGCAGCTGGGTCTGTTACGATGTATGTGTGCTTGTCCTGATAACAAAGGAGTTGATACAAAGGGAACATCCTTGGTATAGAAGAGCTATTTGAGTTCTTATGACTGTTTGATAGCTCAGTGGTATAGATATCTGGATGCAGAGCCAGGGGTTGGGAGCTCAGTTCCACACTGTGCCTCCTTGATACAGGCTAGACTTGATGATCCATAGGGTCCCTTCCAGGTCTGCAGTCAATGATTCATAACTGAATTTGGAGAAAGGTAGGGTAGAATAAATAGATAATTTAGCTCCTTCTACCAGGAAAAGGGTGCCATTTTAGTAGTGACATATGTTCTCATTCTTGGCATTCAGGGCTAGGAAGACACTTTGCAGTCTGAAGCTCAACAATATATTATGTACCCCATCCCCCATCTCAAGTGTCACACGGCAGCATATACTAGGCCAGTCAAATTTAGCACCTGAGTCAGAACATCTCACACAGAAGCTCTCCAGTAAAAACTCTATGACAAGCACATCTCTTCTGTCTGCAGTGCCTAAGAGTACTATGTAGTAGAGCCAATACATTTAGCAGAGCTATCTTGGAGGTGTCATCCTCATTATGGAACACCCTTTATCATTGATCTGGTTGTTCCCCAATACTTTTGTCTTTCAGACACCAGTTAAAAAATTCATACCTGAATTTTGGCGAAATAAGCAAATAATGAATTTCCTTTTGACCGTCGGTGCTCTCCCATTGTTTTTGTATCAGTTTTAGAAGACATTTTATCTGTAGACCTTTGAAGTTTTAGATGGGTACGATTTGTGATTCTAAATTTGTGTTTCTCCATATTTCTGTCTTATGATTTTAGAAATCTGTACACTACTAATTTAACTGTGTTTTTAATATGAATGGGCAAGATATATATTAAATTAATAAATACACATATCAATGGGCAAAGAGTAATTTGCTGCCCTTTAATACTATCAAAGATTTTCCTGTCATGGTAGTGCCAGTCCTGTTCTTCTTAATAATGTTGGCACACAGAACTGGTTGTAAAATAGTTAAGATCTAAACTATGTTTTTTTGATTATCTATAACTAAATAGTTCTAAACATGGGAATTAATGTAAAGTTCATGCCCCAGCTTTTAACATGCTGTAGTGCTGGAAACTTTGAATTTTTTTTTTAAAAAAAGAGTAGCCAAAAAGATTAGTACAACTTTGAAGACTGCCGACATATGATCTTTCTGTGAAATCAATTGAAACATGTCCCAGTAGCATTTTCTACTTTGCACATTGCTTGTGAGGATCCCTTTTGATGATAAATGTGTTAATTGTATATCCAGATATAATAAAGGGCAGAATTTTGCTTCTCGCAGCTTTTGCTAATATCTGTATTCTGGAGGGAATTCATGTACATACCCAGTGCAGGAAAGGAGCACTACTCATCCACCCACCTCCATGCCCTCAAACAAAAAAAGAAACAAGCAAATCCATTAGTGACACAGCAAACCCCAAACTTCAAAATAAAAATACATAGATATGGACCAGAGATTCTTGCTGAACTTTGCTACATTTACAAAATGGCTATAGTTTGGGTACAACAAAAAGGTTTAAACAAATTATTTAAAAAATCAAAAGCCCTTCAACATCTAGGAGAGGACAGATACTATATTACTCATCAGTGATTCCTTCATAAAAATAAAACCAATAGCAAAAAAAAAAAAAAAAAAAAAAGAAAAAAAAAGCACAGGATGAAGCCCTGTTGTTTCTTACACAAACGTTGTGACTTTCAGTTGTTCCTAGCTATCAGTTAATGAGCCCTGCTGGGATTCTCCAAGAGTGTCAGAAGAACTGAATGTTACCCTTTGTGTAACAAAGAAACTGGATTTCACTGCCATCTGGTAAATATAGCACCTTTTCTTTTCTTCAAGTACTGTATGAGAAATATGCATCCCTGAATATACATAGTTGCAACAGAAATGTAACCTTGATTTAATACCAGAAAAGCATGGAGTAAAAGTGAGAATAACAAACATGAATTTATTGCTCAATAAACTATTTGTGTGGATTGGTTCTTAGAGGACTTTCTAGTCCTTAATGCTAGCTCACATAATCTGCTATAATTTAGGTACATTTCTCATCTGGTATTCAGGTATTCATAGGGAGACCACAGCTGCGATACAAGGGTATCTGTAAGC